ATGACATATTGAACGCAGTGAAGTTATAGAAACGAAGTAGAGAAATTGTCTGGAATATAAAAGGTGGTTCGAAGTAATTAAAACATTGGATTGCAACCACCGCCTAAAGTGACACAATCCTAATATTATTCAACTTATGAACTTTTCATTTGCATAATCCAGCATTCAGTTGTTGATTCGAAACTTCCAAGGCCACAGTGAACCAACTCATCAACTCGTATTCTACTTATTGAATACGCACTCTGGACTGCCGTCAAAAATCAATTTGGTAACATTGAACAAACGGAAACCATGATGAAATCGCTTGTTAGCACAAATCATATTCATGAGAAACGGCTTAAAATTGCTTATCGTGAGAAATTATTCACGAAATGATTCTTTTCACGTTATCACTGGTCGTGAGAAACATCAAATGGATTTTGTCCTTATTCGAAGAAAACAGATGTTATTTTTTGCTTGTGTTCAGTCGGAGGTGTTCATCTTGAATGATCAATGTTCAAACAATAACAATCAACAAATAGTGTATCAGTTAAAAACCATTTTAAAAACAAACACAAGACGAATAATCAGATACTATTCATATTTGATTGATAATGAGACCATGTCAAGTAGAGCGCAACACAACAAAATACATTCAAAAAAATTTTCAGCATTCCAATACAAAATTATTATTACTATTATTACCACGAAGCGAACAATTCCTTCTTATCATCAATAGCAAAGTTTCGATCCGTTTTCAAGTTTCGAATTAGTAAGAATGTGAAGAAAAGCTCATGACAGACAGACATTTCAAAGGAATTCAAAGAGTTTTGTCAGCTCAAACTGCCGGCTGATCTTTTCCATGCAAAAAACTCAAAAACTACTCGAAAACTTTTTCAACGATCCGTCTACATACCAAGAATTGATGATTAAACAAAATCCCGTCTGTTGATTTCTCACAAAGCGACTTTCTGCTCTCAATTCAGTAGCAACCACCACGCAGTCTTTATGAATATGAGAAGAATTCATCCCTCATCAAATATCTCACCATTCAAAATGGCTCAAAGTAATCGTTTTCCCAACATAAACACCCTATTACTTTCGCCTCAACGCGAAATGGCACATAGTGAAAATCCGAATAAAAGGATTAATAAACAACGAAAACGAATGAATCGTACGGAATGTGAGTTACAAACTCACAAACGATAACCCAAACAAATGAAAGCATTCACCTACAGCAAACAAATACGTTCAAACACAGACCACAACAAAATTCCAAAGCATTTCATTCATAACAACACACAACGATCGATCACAAACAATGAGTAATAATAATAATAATGATAAAAGTAAAAATAACAATAATAATAATCACTATTACATTATATTACTACTTATTACTACCAAACAACACCAGTAATCATAACAACTTTAATAATAAATGCACAAAATAATTATATTTATGCGATATATACGTGTCATTACTTCGAATAAGAGCAGAACAACAACAGACACAAGTAGAATCTCTTGCAAGTCGACCACCACAATAACCGATAATAAATGAATGACTTTACAGAAGTAATCAACTCAAACTAACACTTTCAGCTGCAAATCACTACGTCGAGTTGATTCATCGTGAATATCTTCACAGTCGCTGATTGCATTCAATAATTCCACATATTCACACCAGACCGATCAGATTATTGTACATAACACGTTATACCATATTAAAACATTAATAATGACGAAATCACTCAGTAAAATAGTAACAACAACAATCACTATGATAATAGTAATGGTAATAGTAACTGTAATATTTATAGTGATAATAATAACAGTATTAATAATAACAATAATAATAATAACAGTAATAATAATAGTAATATTAACAATAATATGGTAACAGCAATAACAAAAACAAACTCAATAATGCTCAAATCATAATAATAATAAGAGCAATAATAATAATAATGATACAGACATCAATAAAGAGTAAAAGAAAGGATCATTCCATACGCATACGCTTGTAATAAGTTTGTGATGGAGCGATATTTGGGGTGACACGTTGATACTCTCCGACGACTGGTATTGACGATGGACGCACATTACTGTTTGGCGCTGCTACTGCACGAGCTTCTTGCAGCCAACGAACTTGCGTTGCTGGCCCGTAACCCTGCAAAAGACACGCTCTTCTTTTGCTATTTCACAGTCATTATTCGCAACGAATTCAATAACACCGATACAAACTTATCAACTTCAACTGCGAATTAATCTACTATTTCTACCTCCTGAAAATTGTTACCTTGAAACGAAGAAGTCCGATCTGATAACTGGCATCAAATCTATGCTCGGAATTCCATTTCGATCACAAAAAAAAGAACACCAGAAATTATTTATCACTCAAAATGTGATGAAAACTCAGAAAACAACATTTGAAAACGTATGTTTGGTTTCATTCAAGTATGAGATAAATACACATTTGTTTGTAATCCAAACGAACACGAATTCACTGAATATCCGTTCAACTAAAAGTAATCAACTTATAACATGTTTGTAGTAAATGACCGGAGTGATAAACTCATGAGGAAATGCATTCAAATAAATGAGAAAATATGGAAATTAACAGAACAAACCTTCTCATTTCTGGCCGCAATACGGAATATGATCGCCGGCTTCGATGAGGTGTCTACGTGTGCTGCATGTAAGTTCATCGACGACACCACACAGCTCGGCTCAGGACCCACATAAACGCGAACAAACGCCAGCTGTGTCTCACTTCCCACTTGTGTATTGCGAACAGCCAAGTACACACTATACTCTGAGACACGGCCTCAAAAATACATCAATATGAATATGATCACAAAACAATGTCACCCCTTACAACAACACAACTTCTATGCATTCTAACGATCACAATATCTGGATTGGCAAGCCGGCTATCAAACGTTTGTCGCGTTGCTGGCCACAATGCTCGCGTTTCCGTGTGCATTATTTTAGCCTTAATTTACGCCACCCCGCTGGCTAGGCGAGCAGGCCAACCGAACACAACCGAGTAAATAATTAGTCGCCATGAATACTTTGCATAATTGAACGCAGTCAAACACCAATTCAGTAAATAATCATTACTCTAATAAAATAAATATTCCGCCGATCGCTCGCAGCGATCGACAAAACAACCACTCAACGTCCAAGTAATAGTAAAAAACGATCATAACACAACCATAAAGATACGATTCCTTCTCTGATCGTGACATATTCAATAGATAACCAAATGAAAACAACCACCTATTTGTTTCCATCATGGTCGCAGCATAAAGACTAAATGGTATAATCCAAATTGGATATAATCGCTACGTACGATAGCTGACGACAGGACTAAATGGCGGAAAATGTGCAAATATCACGATAGAGAGGATGCAAACCAGTGCAATCGTCTTACTAGCCCTCTCAAGTAAGTAAGTAAGTAAAACAAGCAAACAAAAACAACCTTACCAGCTGTATTATGCGGTGGTTCCCAACTCAATTGCGCACCATCCATAATTTTCGTTATTTTAATACTTGACGGTGCACCCGGAAAGCCTGGTAAGCATGTCTTGAATGCGGTCACCTGAAATATTTATAGATAACATTTAGCACATCACACCATAAACATTCGAAAGCAACATAGAGAATTCGATTTTTCAAAAAGCATACCTCAGACCAATCACCTCGCCCGCAAGCATTGATTCCAGCCACTCTGAATTTATAGGCGGTACCAGGCTCTAGCTCAGCCTTTCGTAGGAATCCCACTTGTCCGGCATGCATTCCAACGTCATATGCACTCTGCAACAACAAAATGTTTCCAATATTCAATTTTTAACAAACTACATTGAATATAGCAATTCCGTTGCTCTCATAACCATACCACTATCAAACAAGATACTTCTCAAAATAAAAAAGTCTTACTCCATACGCGTCCTCTAGTGGCATGTCGGATGGTAGGAAGAAATGTGTAACCATGCAACTTGTCCCTTTTATAATACCAACGTCGAACCACTGTGGTTCTTCTTTTATTTCGACCTAAATTCAAACCAAACAATCAACCAATAATACCTTCCGATCTCATGAAACAATCATATTCCTCAAATAAGATTACGTTTATCGCGATAAAATAGTGTGATAATCAAAATCTGCACTTCTGTGCAATTACCCATATGGTATCGCGATTGGCCATTCACATAATTTGGTTCTCAATGAAATGTATTCCCCTGCTAATTAGACAAAACTAGAAGAAATTCCCTATTGCAAATTGAGAATGAATCAAAAACTGATTGACCTCGTATTGGAGAGGAGTGACGGCGGTGTTTGATAATTGTTGTTGGGATTGGAGCAATGGTTGCTGTTGTTGTCTAATGAACGGCTGAGGAGATCGAGATGCAGCTGCACTGTCGAGTTTGACGTATGTGACGGACGAAGGTTGCGTCTGAGGTTGGGTTACAAGGATTTTTGACTGTTGCGGCACGTCTCCTTGTTGCTGTTGTTGTTGACATTCCATGGGCATATCCACTGAAATAAACCATTTTGCATTCATCATTCTAATTTCGACTCGTCTCTAACAGAATGTTCAATTATTATTCATCACTGAGCTGTTAATTCAACCTAACCGTATTCCGTTTCTAACTGTCTTGGATAATTTGTTACTTATGGATTGGATAGGATAGATAACCCATGATGGGTGAATACACTGAAAATGATAATAGTAACAAACCTCCTTCAGATGATGGTGTTGGCTCTTCTGGTTGTCCCGCTTGAAGTTGTGCCTGAGGCTCTATCTCACATCCTCGTATTTGTTGCATTCCCGAGTCACTGGTGGTAGCACATGACTGTTGCTGTTGTGGTTCTCGATCTGATATCGTCTCTGTTGTGTTATTGCTCGTTGCTGTGCTCAAGTCATCCAATGCTCCATTCAACTCTACAAAACAATTGATAAACCTCTTGNGTTCGATTTCATTGAACTGCATCTTTCACAATTACTAATGCCCAATAATCTAAACCGAGTGAACTCACCAGATGTGCATGATTTTTCCATATTACCATCGCCATTAGTATTGATAGCGTTACTAACATTCCCGTTATCATTATCACATTTACTATCACCGTTATTACTGCTAACATTAGTAACTGATGGCATCGATTCAGTGGCACTTGTTGGACTCATCGACACATTTTTCGATCCAGTCGGTTCTGCACTCGCGCTTGCGAGTGGTCCAGTATTTGGTTCAGAATCTGCATTGTTCCTTTCCATGGTTACTGTTTCAGTCGTTTTTGCTCCGGTCGGCTCTGCTACGGCCTTCTGCGAAGTTGACGTCTCCATTGGTTCGCATTTTGACTGTATTCCATCAGCATACGATTCTGAAGTGATCATTGATTACCTCGAATCAATTCACATCAACCAATTCACAAGCAATCGATCATTTCGAAAATTATCACATTCCAATAGAAAGTCTTCCGAAATGAGAACGTTATCGTAAAATCTTGCGATATAACACGGTAAAAGGTAACGTAACAAGTACTTTCATAAAATGCTTTTACATACATCCATACTCTGATTACTCCTCAACACAATAAGGTCTATTTGCATTGCACACAACTAAGTGACTATTTGTTTACAGAATGAAAGTTGATCGTTGGAGCAAAAAAAAAATACCTCGTGCTCAAAATGTCAAAAAAGAAGTAAATTGCGAAGTTATGATTGTTCTCAAAACGCTCACCTTTCACATCGGATTGCTTCTCATCAGAAGTTGATTGGTGTTCTGGTTTTATCGAACTCACTGACTCAGATTGAAGATTTGATGCTGACTGTTCATTGCCCGATGCCTCAGTTAGTAGTTGAGAAAATTCGCCTTTTTCCTCCTTGATACCAGTCTTATCGTCAGATTCCGATCGACTAGCAATAGTTGTGTTGGCCACAGGAGGAAGTTCATCGGGTTTTTGCTCGACACTCGAGGCGTCCTCGCCTACTTCCGATTTCTGACCAGTGCCATTCGGTTTGCTTTCAGTACTCGCTCCTTCTTCAGTCTACGAAAAATTAAACCTTCATTTGAATTCTTCACCAGATTCACAGAGTAATTCAGAGAACTGCATTACAAAAAAACAAGCAACTTACAGTACAGNCGCTTTATCATATTTTGCACAGAACCAGAAAACAAGCACTACAGCAAAGTCACGTCGAATACACAAATCCCATGCCATATCGGAGCGGACTTCTTTTCAGCCTCCTTGGCGCTCCCTTTTATCTTTGCAAAAAAGTCGAACAAAAATGAAACAAAAAAGACAAACTCAAAAGAATCTCTGCTTGAATTTGAACTTGAAAAGAAAAGAATTTGACATTGGAAAAGAAAAATGTCATTTTGAAAAAAAAGAACCTTTATTTCGGGGACAGAGTCCGGTTGTTGAGAACCGGACGGATCAGTTGTGCCTATCGCTTGCGGAGGACTTGTTTCGGGTGCATCTTGTAGAATTTCACCGACGGCTTGTGCGAGGGCATCCGGTTGTGCGGTGCCTTCAGTGCCCTCCTGCGTTTGTCCACCATAGCCACCGTCTCCTTCTGCGAGCATTTCATCGAGCAGATTTTGCGGCAGACCAGCCTTTAAAATTGAACCCATCAAAATATGCCAATATCACAAATTCCATAAGCTCTCTATCTCATCGCACAAAATATGAATCAAAAATAAAGACTCGTCAATAAAATAACTAACCAATAATTTCAAACTATCAATAAAAATTCAACGCATCAATTCAATGAAATCCAAAAAGTTCCCCCTGAAACGCTCGTCTCGTCTCTCAAAATATTGCAAATTACATCACAATGACTCACATCCAAATTTGTCGCCATTGGTCGTGTATACGTGGTTCCTTGTGTTGAGATTGTTGAGGCTGCATGTTGTTCTGGTATGGGCGAATTAGCGGCCAGTCGCTGCACTGCAGCTACCGAGCCATGCATTTGTGCAGAATGATTTAGGGCATGAGGGTGCGACGCAACAACGAGTCCAGGTGAGTGTGACGGGGCGTGCAATGGGGAATCGATCATTGCAGCTAGTTGAGGGGATTGGCCCGATGACGCGCTCGACGATATCGGCGACTCAACGGCATGTCCCATAGCCGCATGACTCATCGACTGTGTGGGCTGCGCTAATTGTGCCTGTTGCTGCTGTTGTTGCTGTTGTTGAAGGAAAAGCAGCTTGTGTTGTGATGGCGTTGCAGACGCACCAATACCACCCGCACCAGCTTTCGTTACTATGATTGTTTTCGTGCCCGAAGTCGGCATGTTCCCTTTGGTCAGCGTAGTGGCACCTCCCTTAATTTTTCAACAAATTCATTGCTTTCTCATTCTCAAACAAACGTTGCTCGTTCAAGCCATTTGTGAACGTTCCTTTTTCAACTCTACATATATATATAATCAATATTTTCGTCAGCACTGAGCATTTTAAGCTCCTTACTCATTGTCAGGCAGTATTCAACTGTCAATAAAATATGACGAAGGAACGAGTGGTCATTCTTCACTCTGATTTCGTCACCTGAGTTAATGGCGTGAACGATGTTTTAAGAATATTCAAGTGGTAGCCATTTTGAAGGATGGACTGCCACTGGCTACTGAGTGGAACACAAATGAAAAAAAATCATCAAACAAATAATGCGTTTATGGGTGTATATATATGCTCATGATGAGTTATGCTAATTGTTAATTCAATAACTCATAACTTACTGCAGAAGTGAGTGTTGTTTTTGGTGTAGAGACAACTCGAAGCAGCTGTTTTCCGGATGCACTATGACCAGTGGCGAGCATTGTGCCCGGCAGACGTGTCCCACTTCGTACCACTTTCATCAGTTGCGTGCCTCCACCAGGTCGTTGTATAGCTATCACTTTATTGGTCAATTGCGACGGTGCCGTTCCCTGTGCTCGACCCGCTGCTACACTTGTCATCTGATGTTGTGCATGTCTTGCAGGTGAAACTGAAAAAAAAAACACTCAAACGTTCACACCATTATTTTGGTATCAATAGATTACTAATAAAAATACGTCTCGATAACTCGATAACTGTCAAATTTCCAGATGTAGAATTCCATTCCATGTTTTTAGCATTGAGGTATCAAAACACAATTACTATCTACCAATCGCGCACCTTACAAAATCAAAAATCAAAAACTTGCACAGCCACATGTTCAAAACGCTTAACTTCTGAGAACTGACAACTGAAATGCAAAACTTCTAAACAATTCATTGTTCACTTCAGATGAAAAATAATCGGATCACTGAACTCCTTCAGCGAATAGGAATTAGTTCACTGGTTTCAAAAGGCAATGAATACTAAACGAACACAACATTTCCTACCG